ATTTTTTAATACTTTTTTTTTTTTTTTATATTTCTATAATTTCTCAAGTATTTTACAGTAATACAGAAAAAGTTATGTATGTTGAATTCCCGGAACGTGACAAGTGGGTACTACTGTAGAATACTTTATTTTCACTTGGAATTTATTTTCGCTATTTTCGCTGAAGGGAGGATTCCGTGAAAATAAAATCCAGTGAATATACTTTTTTTCCTATATTTCACATTAAACTCATCAAAAATCAGTGAAAATAAATTCCATACAAAACGCCCGAAAAGACATTTTCAGCGAAAATTAATTCCAGCAAAAGTATTCCACAGTATAAGGGTTAAAGTCCTTCATCCTTTTTAATATTTGGAAAACCTTGACACATATTTATTGTCCTAAACTCATATTCTCGCAACTAAAACTAAAGTTATAATATTATTTTGACATGAATTATGGTTACCTGTTGGGCAATATGAATCAGTGTACAAGACAACTGGATCTATGGTATTATCACAGAAGTATCCTTGTGGGCAGTCTTTACATGTTGACTGTACAGTTTGATCTTGGTATTCACCAGAGATGCATCGTATTGGTTCAGGACTACCAGTTGGACAATAATGACCTGCAAAGTTGGAAAGTAGTAGTAATTAGGATCAAAAGTAAAGGTTAGAGTGAGACAGAACATGATCGAGAGTTGCATTCCTAATTTATATATGTTGAATAACAGTCCCATAACAGGATAAAAACATAAAATGTGTTAAAATGATGTTTTAGCTGAATACATGATATATTAAAAGTAGATATCCTGGCTCAACTTTTCTGCTCATTTCATTTTGAGTGTACTCGTGGGTCTTATTCTGTAATAGGTGATTTTCCGTTCAATTGCAAGATCTCGAGAGATGCGCGAAAGACGCGTGTCGAGCGTCTGCTGCAAAAATCGAACGATTTGATTTTGAACTCAAATTTCTTTATTTCGTATCTAACATCGATCAGCCAAACTTTGACAGAGGAATATTGCTTTCGAATACTCTCATTTAATCGAAATTGTCTATCATCAAATGTGTACAGCACATTATTAAGCATGGAAATGCCTCCCAAAATATTTTCGCGTTTGTCGAATCCCACACGATGTTTGACGCCACTACGATGCTATGATCTTTGTTTGTCCTGTTTTTACATTCGATTTCACGCATAACGCGTGATTCTCGCAGTGAACAGAAAATGGTCTATTAATTTCTCATAACCCGGCATCTACAGTCTCAACATTTAAGTAGAGATAGTAAAGTTGGTCTTACCTTGTGTACAGTTATACTGAGGAGGCCTATCTTCAGACTGACCAGCAGGGCAATAGTATCCTTCATAACACAGACCAGTGGGCACATCATTACCACCTCCAGCACAGTACCACCCTGCAGTGCAATCAATACAGTCCAGGATATCATCATTACCAGTGCTGTTCAGATATGTACCAGCAGGACATAGCATTGGTGAGTCACTGGCTGCTGGGCAGTACGATCCAGCTGGACATATGTCACCAGTCACATTGCCATCATTTGGTGTTGGTACAGTGGCCTTAGAAAAGCAGTAATATCCTGCAATAAAATAAGATAAATGAGGTGTTACAAAATGTATTCTCAGCCAAGAACTAACATTATTTCATAATTTTTATGATGTACGCAGGAAGTGTGATGAAACATATTTATTGTCTGGAAAGCAAACGTAAGGTGAAGTGTGTACTTTACAGTAACTAGTAAGGTAACATGAGTGTTATTATGAAGGTACCAGAAAGTAAGCTAAAATACTAAAACAGTATCGCAATATGTCCTGACTGCATGTGTACATACTATGAGGTTATTACGCGGATACCTCAAAGTATGCACGAAGACAGTACAGCAAAAGTATCGATCGACATGCAGTGGAGGTCGATGTGATATATGAAACTCAGTGCAAATAATTTTGTTTTCAGTTCCCCATCTTGGAAGTATTGCGCCATCATGATTATTTGACTTTTTATTATCAAACACCAGAATTAAAAATGAGAATGTCTCTTACCTGCATCACAAGCACCAGAAACTACACCTAACAAACCAACAGCACAATAGTAGCCCCCTGTACAGGGTGTAGGGAACGCTGAACCTTCAGGACAGAAGTAACCAGCCATGCACTCATTTCCACCACTGCCAGTAGGCATATTAGTAGTAGAGTTGATATCACAATAGTACCCAGGTGCACATGGACCAGTTGGCCAATCAAGACCACTACTTGCACAGTAGTAACCACCTAAATTAAATATTAGATACAACATAATGAAACATATATCTGGGTTTCCGCTAAGAATAAAATAGTTTTAGCCATTAGTTTCACTTACCAAGGCATCCTGTACAGTCACTTTCATAACTTTTACCGGTTAGGTTGTTAAATGTACCAGCAGAACAAGGATACTGGTTGGAATACTCCGTCCCCTCGGGACAATAGTGACCAGCTGGACACGGCTTATCATCAAAGGTTGATGACCCATTTGGACAGTAGTAACCTGAATTGAAAAATAATAACTTTAATAAAATCTGTATTGCTAGGTTGCAAAACATACTGTTACCATGGAGACAATCTGAATTGGCAGCCATCTTGGCAGATAATGGTTTGGAACTCAGCACATGCAAATAAGCAATACAATCATGAAATTAAAATTTTTTTTACAATTAATGACGTATCAGCAACACTTACATGTACATACTACTATATATTTTTGACTTGGAATACTGTAAAAGGATTAATTATTCACTGGGTTTTAATTTTGCTTATTTCGCCGACTGGAAAATGCGCTAAATTAAAACCCAGTGAATATGTAAAATTTAGCATAAAACACATTATCTAAATGACAAAACCGTGAATTTAAAACCCACTGAATATGCCTGAAATGGTAAATCAGGGAAATTTAAACCCAGTGAAAATTAGTCATTTTACAGTAAAAGATAAAGCTGATTAACAATGCTAGATTTCACTATTGAGATAATACATTACCTGCTTCACATGTCAGACACACCCCCATTCTTTCATATGGTGCATAAGTACCAGCACTACAAGGTATAGGCAGTACAGAACCTTGTGGGCAGTGATGTCCCATGGGACACATACCACCATAACCGGATTGATGTCCATCAAAGTATGGACATGTATCATTGGTAGAGCCATCCGATGTGGAGTTATCACCATCTGGGTTAGATCTGTCAACTCCGTACACACAATAGTATCCAGAACTACATTCTCCTACAAAAATCAAAGCAGGAATGGGATTAAAATGGTTACTTAGTTAAATAAAAACCAAACCAATAATAGGCATTCACTGTTTAACAAATTTCTATTTACTTAAGGGGTACGGTAGTATACAAATTTCAACATACCTGAGGGGGCTGATAAATGTTCCTGTTCACAATAATACCCAGCATCACATGGTATACACTGGCTTAGCATGTAATTGCCTTCTTGGTCACTGTAGGTCCCCCTAGGACAGAATTTCAAATCAATACCAGTACCTTCAGGACAGTAGTACCCCTTAGGACAGATTTGTTTAATACCTGCTTGAGGGCAGTAGTAGCCAGCTGGACATTCATAACATTCTACAGCATGTGTATGGTTTACCTGCAGAGATAAATATGACACGAAGTATTAAAGTCACAACAATTCAGAAGATGATAAATATTAGAAACTTTCTGAAAATTTTATATAATAATTCACACAATACTGGAAGGTTATTATGGTGATACAAAAACACAGTACATCTATGTACTGAAACCCTAGAAAAATTTTTTAAAAAAATAAGAAGACATTTATGTAATTAAAACATGCACATTGAAACATCGTTTAACTTAAAGCGGGAGGGTCGTCACCTGCGCACACACAGGAATTGAGTCCAAAGCGACGATAACAACACACGCTAAAATAAGAAAAGGCTCATGGGTAGACGCTTGTTTGTAAACAATGACACGCTATGGCCATCTGACACATGCGCAGGTGACAACTCCCCCGCTTTAACATTCAACCCTAAACAAAAGTGTGAACAAATGGAGAAACCATTAGAAACAATTTAGTTTGATTTTTGTGTTAATATAAATCACCCAAAAAAGATGGAAAAAATTACATTTGTTGTGTGCATGTTTTAATTATTTAAGGCTCCTAACATATATTTTACTGCAACAAATATGCACAAAACATGTATGCACAAAACATAAAAAAAAAGAAACTTGGACTTGGTGTTATCACAGAAGTCACAAGACAACATTACAGTGATGGGTGTGTTAATTTTTATGAATATGATTGAAAGAGACTCACCTCACTGTTGTTTCTACAAGGTATTGGATATGCCACGCCCTCTGGACAGTAATGACCAATAGGACAAAATGTATCACCTGGTTGCATATGAATAGAACCTGGTGGGCAATAGTAACCCTCTCCACAGTACCCAGTGGGTGTAGTCAATCCTTCTGTTTCACAGTATAAACCTCCAGTACAAGCATAGCATCCATTCTCACCATCAGGACCAACTTTGTTAGTTTCATTACTAAAGCTTCCAGCAGGACAAGGGATTGGATCAAAGGTACCATTAGGGCAATAGTGTCCCACAGGGCAGTCAATTTCATCTGGTTTTGTAGATCCTTCAGGGCAATAGTATCCTGCATAGCATTCACCATTGGGAATACTTAGATTGAAGTCAGCACAGTAGAATCCCTTAGTGCAATTCTCACATTCAGATACAGCTTCTAGCATTGTAGCCGTAGAATAAGTACCCGGTGGACAACGTTCGGGTTCATCTGTACCTTCTGGGCAATAGAATCCAGGTGGGCAAATATTAGCATCATCATCCTGAGTGGGTGTAGCTTCAATTGCATAGCGACGACAGAAGTAACCTGGTGAACAGAGATCTGAATAGGTTGTCATCGCTTCCTCTGGACAGAAATAACCACCAGGACATGGATTGCAGTCTTCTGATACGTTTAAACCAGGTTGGTTGCTGAAGGTACCTCTTGGACATTTGTATTCATAAGCATATCGGGTTCCTGCTGGGCAATAGTAGCCAACAGGGCAGGTAGAGTTCTGAAACAGTACAACTGGTTCATATGTGTTATCACAGAAGTAACCAGATGGACACGTCTTACATGTACTCTGTGCGATCTCATCTTGATATGTCCCTGAAGAACATCTCACTGGCTCAATGCTACCACGTGGACAGTAATGTCCTAATAGAATAATATGAATACACTGAATCAGTATGCAGGATACAGCATGTATGTCAACAGGTGGTAGAAGTGAATTGGACATGTGTTTCCAGTGTTCCCACTAAGCCTTATTTTCGCTCAATTTTCTCAGATTCAATTGTAGTTTCTCAGTGAAATTTTGTTTTTTGAGAAACTTTCCATGCATTTTGTATGCAGAAAAAACATTTCAAGGGAAAAATGGGAAAATTTTCACAGTATTTTCAAGATTCAAAAAAGGGAACAGTGTGTGTTACACATGGAAAGGAATGGCATACCAAGAATCGCTTTAACATAGGCACCAGAGAGCAATGTGGGAAGACCAAAAGAGAAATGGAGAAGAACTGTGGAAAAGGAAAGAAATCAATTGGGATACAAGACTTGGACAGAGGCAGAAGTAGCGGCTCAAGACAGAGAAGCATGGAGGAGAAGAGATGCTGGCCCTATTCTCCACCAGGAGACAAGGAAATGATGATGAAGCCAACTAGAGAAAAAATATTTTAGCTTATGCCCAATGTAGTACGCGATATAAAAGTTCAACAACCTCAAATAATGAAAAAATTCAGGAAAGAAATTGAGACAAATTGGCACATATGATACATCTGTACTATAATTGCTTACCTATAGGACACATATAATCATTGGGATTGGATATAGCCTGTCCATATGGACAATAGTAGCCTTCATCACACTCTTCTGTTTCCTGAGTATTACCATAACCACCACAATAGAATCCAGCTGTACAATTGAGACAGTCACCGATATATGTATTACCAGTAGTATTGGTAAAAGTACCTGGTGGACAGGCTACACCAGCTGCACTACCAGATGGACAGTAATGACCTGATGGACATATGTCTCCTACAAGAAATCATAGTATAACAGTCACCAATGTATGACCTGATGGACATGCGTCTCCTACAAGAAATCATAGTATAACAGTCACCAATGTATGACCTGATGGACATGTGTCTCCTACAAAAAATCATAGTATAACAGTCACCCTTGTATGTATTGAAGTACTTAGACTACATCAGCTTTAAGCTACCGTAGCTTGCTTTCAAAAAGTCTCATATTAGTAATATGGGTGAATACCGTTGTGTCGTCACCGGAAGCGCTGTCCCAGCACAAACCTGTGTCATATGACGCCTTCGTTGTGTC